ATGTCGGGAAAACGTCCCTAAAGACTCGAGCTATCCAAAAGTGGGATGGGTTTCCCGGGGTGGCTGCTTGCATGGGAGATCTTTGCACAAAGGCTGGTTAATCCACTCTGGGGAATTTGCAGAGAGGATTCTTTCTCGGGTATGGGTCAACATAGTATGGGCGCTAGGGGGCGCCATAGTGCATAGAGCATTGGGCCTGGAGTCAGAAATATTCATCTTCCTGAATTCAAATCCAGCCTCAGACACTTCCTAGCTGTGTGACCCTGGGCAAGTCACTTAACCCCATTTGCCTCAGTTTCCTCATTTGTAAAATGCACTGGAGAAATAAATGGCAAACCACTCCAGGATCTCTGCCAAGAAAACTCCAAATGGGGTCAGGAGGAGTTGGATATGACTGAAATGACTGAGCGAAGTGGTAGAGAGGACCTGGGTTTAAGTCATATCTGTAACTACTTGAACCACCTAACTTTGCCACTCTGAGTCTCATAAAATCCTGGATTTAGAGCTGGGAGGGACCTCCGTGCCCATCTGGTCTAATTCTCCCATTTTACAGGTGAGGTATAAATCCCAGACTTGTCCAACTTTATATGGGGAGAAAGTGGCATAACCAGGATTCAAACTCAAATCCTGTGACTCCAAGTTCACGACTCTATGCCACCTGGTTTAGGGGGAGCTCGTTGAGCTGACTACTGCTGAGGCTCCTTCCACCTCTGCAATTCTGTAATGCTGCCACGGTACGTTCAATTGTGTGTTTTTTTCCTTTCTTTTACTAATAACAAGAAGTTATAAATAGCTCACAAAGTGGACATAGGTAGACGGCATGACTACATTTAGATAGATTTGGTACTAGTTGAATGACCAGGCCTCCCGAATGGAGATTCATTGATCTTTGTTTATTTGGAGCGCTACTAGATTCTGTCCTATGTCCTGTTCTGGTCTCTAGCTTCATGAATGAATCTGGATGAAGTCGTCTGTGGCTTACTTATCGAGTTTGGAAAGGCACAAAGCTGGGAAAGATAGCTCATGGGATGAATGACAAAATCCCAAAAGACCTCGACAGGTTTAGAATGATATGCCGAATCTAATTAAAAAAAAATTAATAGAGATAAAAATACAGTTCTAAGTGTGTCTTTTTTTTTTTAAACAATGGCATAAGTACAGGATGAGGGTAGCTGTGGGCATATTACAGTTCTTAAAAAAAGATCTGAGGATATTAGTGGGCTCTAAACTAAGTATGAGTCAACAGTGAAACATGCTAAGGGGCAAGGTGTGGGTGGGTGGGTGAGGGAGAAGTGTGAATGTAATCATGAGAGGCATTAACAGAAGCAGACCATCCAGAAAGATAGAATTTTTGCTGGATTTTGACCCTTATTAGATTATATCTGACTTCTCCACCCTGTCCTTGGAAGCTTATTATCAGGAGAATTTTATCATCTCGTAAATTCTCATCAGCCTTGCTCCTCTACCTCATCACCATCCCCTGTCCTGATTGAAGGGTAGGACATGAACTCCTAAACCACCTCCTCATTTCTCATCTGGGTACACAACTTTGGTTCTTCTCTAACTAACTTCTGTGCCATGCCTCTGATAGGGAACCTCCCCTGTCTGTGGTAGATTATAAGCTTCTGGAGGGCAGGTTTTTTTTTTTTTGTATTTGTATTCCCAGTACTTAGCAAAGTGCCTGGCATATAGTAGGTGCTTAATAAATGTTTATTGACTGTTGACTATCTGGAATTTTGTACTCATTTTTCAGGAAGATTATTGACGGGGGTGGGGGGGGTGGGGGGGTGGACTGGAGCCAGCTCGTAGAGGTTCTGAGAGCCTATTGTTAAATCTTCAGGGTGAGCCTTTACATCTTGGAAATTGGCAAATGCTACAGGTCAGGGCTTTATTGATTGCTTTGTTGACTATCTAGATTTAAGGAAGTGATGCTGATAATACAGATTAAACTTAAAAGTGTGTTGCACATTTTCAGAGATCTGGTTGTTAAATATTTACCAGCACATCTTTGAATATTAATGTCCTGAAGTGCACACAATAGAGGGAGACTAAACTGTTGAGGTGACTTGAAACTGTTCATACTAAGGTTCATTGAAAAGTTCTGGGGAATAATTTTTTATTGAGGAGGCAGAGAAGACTTGGGTAGGAGGTGATGGTTGTTTTTTACACTTTGATTTTCACATAGAAGAATTACATTTCTTCTGTTGAACTCCTGAGGGCTGGAGGAAATCAGGAAAGACATTTTCCCAATCCATTAAATTTCATTGACCTCCTCTGAGGAAACCTGTGAGCCTGGTAGCCCAAGAATTATTCTACTCCTTTAAAAAATGAGGAAACTGAGGCTCAGATGTGGTTCAGCGACCTGCAAAACCAGACCTATCAAGGTTAGCACCTCAAGAAAGAAGGAGGCACAAACAGTACTAGAAAGAACTAAGATGAAATCCCTTGATTGGGAAGGGACGCCTTATTAAAAATGGCAGCTTCCTATTTTTTAATGAATTATATTCTTGCTAAATAGGGGATCCGCTGAATGCACAAGTTACAGTGTTGCCTTTTCCTTGTTTTGGGGTCCTGGGGAAAATTCCTAGTCACCCTACCTTATTGAAGGTGCCGACAATATGGAGGTAGTGAGATTCAAAGCCAGGACTAGAACCCAGATGAAGAGATGTAGGAATCACTTGGTAAGATCTTATATGCACAGATAATTAATAGCCCAGTTTTGGGGTTTTTTTGTTTTTGTTTTTGTGGGTTTTTTTTTTTTAGCAAAAATAGGCAAACAATGAGGGAGAAGGAGAGAGAGAGAAAGAGAGAGAGACAGACAGACAGAGGGCAGAAAGACAGAGACAGAAAGATAGAGACAGAGATACACAGAAAGACAGAGATAGAGAGAGACACACAGAGAAACAGACAGAGACAGAGAGAGAAACGAGGATTTTTGTCGGGTGCGTGGGAGAGCCCTTCAGGCTTTGAATAACTTCATTCTGTCTTGGACTCTGTTGAAGTTTTGAATGAGGCTTCAGACTCTTATGAGTTGAATTTATGGTGTTCTAAGAATTCTATCAATTCACTACCACAAGGGGTCAGATTACAGAACCAAAATTACTCCAATCCCTTTAGCAGCCTGTCCAGAGAGTTCACTGAACCTCTGAGGGTTCTGGACCACCTGTGGGTTGGTTCTCTCTGCACCCTGCTAAAGAGAAGAAATGCAAAACTCCGAAAACATTTCCAACCCTTCCAAGGCAATGACTTTGCTGGCGAGCAGCCAAGACCTTCTTGAGAACTTGATGAAACACATCCATTTAAAACCATTCTCCCAAAGATGTTTCCTGTCCTTGGGTTCTTTCATTCATTCTTATTAAGCACCTACTGTGTGCCAGGCATTATGCTACAACATTGTAGAATATCAGTCTTGCAGCCCCTCCTTCCCCTCCCAGGGCTGCCCATCCCATTTGTGGATGGTTCTAATTAATTCGGAGTTTCCCTTATGGCTAGCTGAAATCTGCCTCTCTGCACCTTTTCCTCATGGTTCCTAGTTCTTCCCTTTGGGCCAAACCCAGCAGACAGGTTCAATGCTCTCCCACATGAGTGCCTTTCAAACCCTTGAAGAGAGTGATTGGGCATCACCCCAGCCCAGTCTTCTTTTCTCCAGGCTAATCACCCTTTGTTCCTTCTCCTCGTCCTTCTATGCACAGCATGATCTTGGGGCCCTTCCTCATCCCAACTGCCCTTTTCTGGATATCTCTAGCCCTTCAATGTCCTTCCTGAAATGTGGTGCCTGGAACAGAGAGCAAGACTCCAGGTGTGGAGTAAACACAGTCCTTGCTTTACGGAGATGAGACAGGCATGTGGATGAGAGCAGGGGGCCGTTGGAGCCAACTTATACTGGCTCCCAATACCTGATTGTTAAATGTTCAGTGTGAGCATTTGTACCTTGGAAGTGGCAAATGCTTTAGATCAGGACCTGATTTAGCATGTTGTTGATTGTCTAAACTTGAGAAAGTGAGGGAGAAAATGGTAATAATGCCTATTAAAGTGAAAAGTGTCTTGAGTGCGTTTTTCCCTAGAGAGCTGATCGTTAAACATTTACTAGCAGGCCTCTGAACACAAGTGGATACTATCTGGGCAATAACCAACAGGTTCAAGATAAAGAGCGGAAAGGTGCCTTAGAGCACAAAATCTTAAATATTAAACATTAGGGAAAGAAGTTACGGACTCACAGGATTTCAGTGTTTGAATGGATCTCAGGAGCCATTCAGCCCAATTCATGACCCCAAAAAGAATCCACTGCAACATGTCTGGCAAGTGGTTGTCCAGTCTATGCTCAGAAACTTCCAGGGAGGGGGAGCCCACTGCCTCCCATGGGAACCCATTTCACTTGGGGACCTTAGAACATGGAACGTCAGAGGTGGGAAGGCCCGTAGAGTAGGGGATGTCAGAACTGGGAGAGCCCTTAGAGCAGGGAATGTCAGAGTTGGGAGGGCCTTAGAACAAGGGATGTCAGACCTAGGAGGGCCCTTAGAACAGGGAATATCAAAATTGGGAAGGGCCTTAGAACAAAGGATGTCAAAGGTGGGAGATCCTTAAAAAAGGGGATGTCAGAAGTGAGAAAGTCTTTAGAACAGGGAATGTCAGAGCTGGCGGTGCCCATCTAATAGCTCATCTAATAAAATCTAGTTCATATTTCTCATTTTACAGTGACTCAGTAGAAAAATAGCCCCAGGTTTAGGATCTTAACCACCCTGACCAATTTGTCTTCCCTGGAATAAACACATTTCATTTTGGAACCGTTTAATTCCATCTGCTTCATCAATCAAGCCTTAGCAACAATGTCTTCATAGGTTAGTAAGGAGAAAGTATAGACAGCTCTGTGGAATCTAATTATCACAAAGGACCAGAGAGTCGATACAGAGCACACTCAAACTACCATACTCCAATTTCAAAGAATTATTCTGAAGGACACAGATTTCCCCCATGAGTTTCCTCATCCCACACGGGCCTACCTGCTCATTAACTTGACACACGGTTAGATTCTGGTCGTCTCGGGAGCAGGCCACCCGGATGTACTTCAGCCAGTTCCCATTTCCAGTCTGGTTAGCTTCCATACAGAACTTCTCGTTGCCCAACTCATCAGCAATCTGTTGGGGGTGGGATGAGGGGAGAGAGAGGAGGAGGAGAGGAGCAAGGAGAGAAAAAAAGAGTGGTTATTAGAGGTGATGACCCACCAAGGGTAGGAAAGCATGCCCAGAGATCTTGACAAAATTCTTATCTACAACATTGCTCCAAACCAGAAGCCCAATGATTTAGTTGGGTGATGGTGGTGGTGGAGGAGGTAATACGGTGAGCTGTCATCAGCCATGGATTCGTGAATGGGTCATCAAATTTCAGAGTTCAATGGGCCCTCAAGAGACAATGAATCCAACCCATGATTGACCAAGAATCCCTTCTATGATATCTCTAATATGTGGACAACTAACCTTTGCTTGAAGACCCTCAATAAGCGCTTCTCCCCCCATCACCCCATCTTACCTCCCCACCATAGCTCATTCCATTTTGAGACAGCTCTCATTGTGAATTTTCATGATAGCATGCCTAAGGTTTTTTTTTTTTCTTTTAGTAGCAACTTCAACACATTGCTCTTGGTTCTGTCCTTTGGGACTAAACATAATAAGTCCATTCCTTTTCGTAGGTGACAGTCTTCAAAGTACCCAAAGGCAGCAATCATGCCCTCCACTATCCCCCATCATCTTTTCTCTAGTCTTAATACCCTCTAATTCATTTAATCAATCCTAAGGTGGAATGAGTTTTAGTAGTTGGTCCATAAGCATTTATTAAGCACTTACTATGTACCAGGTACTGTGCTAAGCACTGGGGATGCAAAGGCTAGCAAAACCAAGACCCTTCACCATCTTGTTTGAAGCTGCTGTCTAGCTTATCCATATTCTTCCTAAAATGTGGTACCCAGATTCGAAAGAATCCCATATTCAGTCTATCCCCTGCTATTCACACATTCATTAAGTCCAGTGGAAAAGATTACAAAGGTCTGGAATTGAGAGGAAGTGTGGGGGCAGGCTGAAGGATTGATGATTTCCCCCCACCTAGTTTATTTTATAAGGTGGCACCCAGATTCTGTCTAGCCCTGCCATTCACACGTTAACCCAGTAGAAACCATAAGGAATCTGATTTGGTTATTCAAGACTTTGGGTTGAGTGGGGAGTAGAGGGGACTGAAGGCTGAAGGACCCGTGATGATTTTCCCCAACTAAACAGAGATCACTGTACTGGTCATAACCACAAACACCTCAAGTCTACAACAAAATGGTTGCAAGTGATTGGAGCCTCGGGCTAATCTTTTTTTTAAATGCACATTGACCTCACAAAGATGGTGTACCAATGAGATGACTAGAAAAGGATTTGAAGGTAAAGGTGTCTACATATCAAAGCCTGGGGGTATTTCTCTGTGGCTCTATAAGGGTTTGAGGTGAGAAAGTGTGTGAGCCAAGCAGTGGGATGATTACTTTTATTTTCTTAAAACAGGAAAGTCACCGTTTGACACCCTGGGGGCATGAAAAGGTTCAACCTTTCGTATCAGGCTGCTAAAGGAGCTGGGACAGGGAGAATGGCAAAGTTCTAGCTTGCTCACCCAGGGTAAGAACCGGAACTCTGAACCACCCCATTTACGAGAAAATGCCTGATTTGAGAGTCAAAAACCTCACCTCTCCCCGCTGTTCACAGGGCAGGATTTCCATCGGATTTGCTGTCTCATAAAATGGAAGCTACAACCCACAGCAGGGGCAGCCTGGTGGGCTAGGCTCACATTTCCCACATCTCCTCTTCCCTTCTGGATCCTTCCTCAACTATCTCGGTTTCCCTAATCAAGCACAGCAGAAATATTTGGAGGAAGAGAGTCCAGGGAGCAGAAATCAATCTTAGAAGTGAGACCTTTATGCAGAGGGGAGGAGTGTGAGTGTGCTTAGGGAATCGGCTGCTTAGAATCTTAGATCAAGATTAGAAAGAACTTTAGAGGCCATCAAATCAAACACTTCATTTGATAGATGAGGGAACTGAGGCATGGAGTGATTAAGTGACTTGCTTAGAGTGTCCCACAGCTAGTAAGTGTCTGAGCCAGAATTTGAACTCAGGTCTTCCTGACTCCAAATCCAGTGTCCCATCTTCTGCACTATCCCAGAAAGGGGAATGAATGAGACAGCATTTATTAAATACTTACTATGTACTGTACACTATGCTAAGCACTGGGAATACAAATATAGGCAAACAACGTTATTCCTGCACTCAAGAAACTTACATCCTATTAGAGGAAGATGCTTCATATGGGAGACTGATAACTAGGTGAGAGAATTAAAGAAACAACAACAAATACAGAAACATCATCAATGGAATGACTATCCCTTGGCCTTTTAAAGTATTTGTTAAGAGCCTACTATGTGCTAGGTGCTGGGGAATAGAAAGACCAAAACTTAAGCAGTCCCTGCCCTCAAGGCACTTATATCCTACTGGAGGTAGGGCTGCCAATTTGGAAATGGCTTGGAAGGTCTATGAGAATTTGGTTTTGGTATTCTATTTTCTTCAGTCAGTTTAGGGGACCTTAAGTTGGCTGCTTGAAGGCATGGACTTTGCATGTCCTAACCACTTACTCAGGTGTTCTTATATTTGTGCAATAACAACTTCCACAGCCCATAGGGTTGCTGTAATTGTTATTTCTAATTTTGAAATGCCTTGGAGAGAAATATTTCCTGAGAACTTTGGGATGTCATTCTTGGAATATGATTATCTCTAAATGTATGACCAGAGCAAAGTAATAAGGGTGAAATTTCAGGAAAAGTACAGTAGTACTGATGGGCAATAATTAATAATAGTACTGATAAGTATTAATAATAATTATTATTAATGACAGATGATGGTGATGAACCCATCAGCTTTGGTACTCCACCTCATCATTATCCCCAGTCTTTCTGATTGGAGGATGGAACCATGGACTTCAAAACCTCCATTTAAGGAGAGAGTTCAGCTCAGAACATCTCATTTCTCACCGGGCTGTACTACCTTCCAACTCCTCTGACTTTTCCACTATGCTTCTGAGTACTTTCCCTGCCCATCCCTCTTCTCTTCAGTTTCCTTTTATGTGTTTTCTTCCTCCGTTAGATCGTAGGCTCCTTGAGGGCAAAGATTGTCTTTCTTTTTTGTATTTGCATCCCCAGAGTTTAACAGTATCTGGCACACAGTAGCTCCTTAATAAATGTTTATTGATTGATTAATTATGATAATGATGGTAGAGATAGCTGTGACTTCCCAAAGACCATTAAGCCCAACATGTTATACTTTGAGAACCATTGATTTAGGAGCAGAGCAGTAAACTAAATGACCTTTTAGAGAAATGACTCCTCCACCCGAGGCCATTTAATCCATCTAGCAGGATGTAAAACTGTGGATGAAGAATCCTAAGACTCAGAGTTGGAAAGGACCCATCTAGTCTAACCCCTCTACCCCACAAGTCAGAATCACTTCTAAGACAACTTTACCAAGAGGTCAATTGGATTCTGCTTGAACACCAAGGACCAGTCTTGACTTGTAAAGTCTTTCCTAGCTCTAAATCTATGACTTGCTTCCAGGGACAAGGGACTCACAACCCTAGAAGATAATCTATGAATCATTGAACAGCGCTAACAGAAAATCCTTCCTTCCACCGAGCTGAAATTTACTTCCTGGTCTAACTTTTGCCTTGTGATGCTACACAAAATCACTATCTCCATTGTACAGATTAGAAAGTTAGAGATCAGAGAGGCTGAGTGACTTGGCCATGATCACACAGCTTGTAAGTGTGTTGGAAGTGGGGTTTGAACCCTGAACTTCGGGACTCAAAGTCCAGTGCTCTAACCGCCACACCACTTTGTTTCTCTGATGCCTTGCTACATGACAGATATCTCCCCATATTTGGAGACAGCAGTCGTGTCCATTTCAGGTCCCAGCTGAAATCACACCTGGATTCAATCCTTCTGCAGGCTAGAGATGAGGCGAGCATCCATCAGGCTGGGAAGGATCTCGGCCACCATTCCAATCGGCCCAGAAAGAGCACTTCTGATCTCCGTGTCCTGTGCTCAGAGGGAGTCAGGGCTTGCCCTCTTTTGATCAGGACACACTTCCTCAAAGCAGAAACATCTGGGAACCGCAGAAACCTCAATTTGAACAGGATGGAGGGGGCATGTGTTCAATATAACTGTGAAGCCAATCATAGGCCGGGGGGGGGGGGGGGAAAGAGGGATGGAGGAGGCTTCTTCCGAACAAGTCAGGCACCCTGATGCCAAAACCAGAGAAATGGAGAGCTTGGGGGAAATCTGGTTCAGCAGTGACCCATGGATGGAAAAATCCTCACACTTAAAATCTTTGTCTTTAGTGCTTTTCATCTCACCTTTCTGCTTCCTTTCCTCTCTTCCCCAAATCCCAGAATCTCAAGTCTGAAAGGACTTCTGAGGGCAGACTAGCTTAACAAGAGTGACAACAAAAATAGCTCTTGTTTATATAGTGCTTTAAAGTTTGAAGACAGAATTCATTTGATCCTTGTAACAGCCCTGGAAAGTAGATGCTATTATTACCCTAATTTTGGAGAGGAGGAAACAGAGGCCTTGTCCATCACTGCCCAGCCAGGAAGTGTCTGAGGCAGGGTTGGAAATCAGGTATTCCTGACTCAGTCCTGTGCTCTATCCAATGATTGGTCACCCAATGGAAGACCTCAAATAAATAAGAATCATCATCAAAGGAATGACTATCCCTTGGTCTTTTAAAGTATTCGTTAAGAGCACACTATGTGCTAGGTGCTGGGGAATACAAAGAAAAAAACCTAAACAGTCCCTGCCCTCAAGGCGCTTACATTCTACTGGAGGTAGAATTTCACTTTCAGAAAGCTCCAGTCCTTAGGATGTTATTCCTTATATTAAGTCTAATTTCATCTCTTTGCAACTCCCACCCGTCAATTCTACTTGGTCTCTTTCTGTGGCCAAGAGGAAACGTGAAAGTCTAATCTATCTCCTACTGGACAGCTCATTGGACCATGTGCCTTTAGTCTTCCCTCCTCCAGCATAACATTCCCTGGTTTTTCAAGTGGTCTTTACACGGCACAATCC